GTACTTTGTGATACTGTGATATTACATATTTTAATTTAGCTGTAGATACCCTAGCATACAGCAACAGAGGGCAGATACAGTGAACAGACAAAATAGTACAATTTGCAGTGGTTGGCAGCAGCAGTAGCAGCAGATAGCAGCAGACACTAAGAACAGTTTACAGCAGCAGTTAGATGTTAATGTCAAGCTGTAGCAGTTTGTAGTGGCAGGAGCTGCCAGCAAAGCCAGTAGCATGATGATACGGTTATGATCTTTGAGGGGACTGAACTTCAGCTGAAGGAATTTTTTCAGCTCTTTAATGAGAATGTTGACAACTTATCTTTTACAGTGGGCTGCGGTTCTGGCAGAACTAACATTTTGAATCTTTGGGTGATTAAATGAATGGAGAGTAAAACCGATAGACAGAAATTCACTCCTTAAGGTAGATAGTTGCCATCCATTATTAAAACTAAAAAATGTACTCTCATGGTTGACAAATTTGTAGGCTTAAAAGGATTTGCAAAAAATAAAAAGACTAAAAGTAACTTTAAGAACAAAGAATATACAGATAAATATACTGAGAAAGCAAATAAAAAACTGACAGAAAACAAAGAGTGGAGTTATGAAATATATTAGTTTCAGAAGGTATATCATACTATTCACATACTACAGACAGATGAATCTCTAAAACATCTCTACATACAAAATAAGCTGACACTTTATAATCTAAAAATATTCCATCATAACCAAAACCAGATCCTTTACAAACTAATACTGCATTAGTCCCTAATGGAAATAACAAATATGGAATTGTGCACGATGTAACAGTACAGTCAGACAAACTTGGTTCAGTCATCCACATGCTGGTAACAAAATGCAAATCAGGGGAGGGATTTCATCTCAAACACAAGGTGCCATCTATTTGTTAGCATGCTTTTGTGCAAAAGGATATATAGGGAATTAAAGAATTGCAGAACATAAAAGTAGTATAAAATGTAAAAAGGAGATCTTTCCAGTTGTAGCACATTTCATGAAAATGAACCTTCTTGTCTCTTCACCAAAATATGTAGGAAATGAAAAGCGATGCTTGAGTTATTTAGATTATTAGGTGGGTTAAATATACTAGAGCTTGGAAGGATGCATGAAATTGAGAATTAACAACTATACTCTCACAGATGAGTTGGATGGGAAGGATCTATTGTATTTATTGGAGAAAAATGTGAAATGTAACTACTGATGTGTTATTTTTGGATCTTTTTTCTTGTAATTTGTATATTTTTGATATCAAAGGACATTATAAATTTAACATGTTTTAAAGAGAAGGCATTGATAGATAAAAAACACTGCTTAACATCCAGTACTAACAGAAATGCATGACATGTCGTGATAGATAAAAAACACTGCTTAACATCTAGTACTAACAGAAATGCATGACATGTCATTACGGTGTGTTAATTGTGGCCCAAATTTGACAGTGAATAGGAGTGAACGCTCACGCTAAATTTGACAGTGAATAGGAGTGAACGCTCAGGCTAAAAAGGTAAACAAAAAACAGTCTTCTTCCCGTGGGTGTCTATGTCCAGATTGTCCCCCGTAATGTTTGGTCAATACAGCACCTTTGCCGGATCATGTCACTGTCCAGTGGGGTGAAAGTTGAACCAGATCCAACTTTGTCGTCACACAGGGTTGCATTGCTTTGCCAGAGCCCACTGCGGTGCTGGTGCTGGCTGTGGTGGATGCAGTCTCCCATAGAAATTAATGGGGAATCCTTTGAAACTCAGTCTGAACATGGAACATGGCCTTAGGGTGGTAACTCTAACCCTTCACACACCGCTGGTCTCCTGCTGCTTATACCACAACACTTAGTTTGTAAAAACATGCTTAAGAGCGAAGCTAGTAAATATTTTTGTAGTACTTCTTTTTGGTGTTGCACTTTGTAGGTGGTCCATGAGCAACCATCTCACAGTGGCTGCACATATGATATTTCATCAAAACAACTCTTTTTGATGAAAATGAGGTAGCTCATTGCCTGTCTACCTTACTACAGTAAAGAGGCATCATGTGTGTTTTAATAACATTACACTATGATTTATTGATCTGGAAACATTTCACCCTAGAATTGGTTTTATGTACACTCGGATATTTTTTCAGGCTGGAAAGTAACCATTTAGACTCAGAACATCTGGTTGGTCTATTCCAGTAATGTGTAGGCTTATTTGGAAATTTATTGTTGTTGTTTACTGTTATTGCTGTTGTCTCGAATATTCTAATAGTGGAATTGAAAACTAAATGCCTACCCAATGAGCACTTATCCAGATAGCTGAATATTTGGGTCCAGTCCTAATAGTGTCTGTCAGCCTCCAACCTGGATTAACTCTCTGCCTTGTTTACAGTCCACTAGCTTCTAGGACTTTAACAGAAATCTCACACCTGTGCTGTTGACTCAGACGCTGTAAAAAGTTATGGCTGTGTGGAGCTTTTGGGGCGATATTTTTAACATATATATGGATCTGATGTTTCTTAAAGAAAAAGCATGTCTCCCAGTGCAACGGTGGGTTTCACTGATGTGTTTGTAATTGTTTTTGAACAATGGTCTATGGCACAGACAAATAACACAGTCCTGGTTGGAAACTGCGAGTAGAGACAATTCATTGTTGGTTTTAGCCTTTGTATGGGGAGTGTTTGAAATACTGTTAATATAGAAAATGGCCCATCTTATTTTTTAATATAATATTCTCTTGTAAATTTTGTAATAACTAGAATTAAGGTGTTTTTGAAAAGAATGATCCTAATGTATTGTACAGTTTTTATGGTGACAGACTGATCACATGATTGTGTATAGGAGGCCAGAAACAGCCTCGTCCACCCTGATTAAGGCCTCATGGCCAAACATGTTTGGCAAATAAAAGCTTGATATAGTGGAGAAAAGTAAAGCAACGTGTTTTGATGTTGATGGATTTGTTTGAGGCCCACACTTATCTGACCTCGCTGTATGTGTGCTCTCAAAAGATAAAAAAGAAATGAAGACCATAAAACTGTATTCAGATTTGGAGCCACTGTTGTGTACATTTTTGAACTATATATGTATTTTAATAACACACAAACACATGCACACAAATTGATTTCTTGACCGTAAAAACCTCAGAGCTGAAAACAAACTCTCCTAAAGATCATTCAGGCAGCAGAAACAATATAAATGCAGAGCAGCTTGTAGAAAGTGGACACAGTGATGGAAAAAACATGGCGACTGTGTGTGTGTGGACGTGTGTGGGTGCAGGTATCATCTGTCATCAGGCGGACTGCAGTGTAATTTTCAGCACTTATTCAGATTGTTTTCCAGATCTTCTTCTATGGTGTCTGACTCTATTATTTAGACTACCCGTCTATTTTCAGCAAAGAGTGACGCTTTACTGCTCAGCACCGGCTTGGCTCTTTTGGCTGGGTCATCGAACAGGAACAAATCCGCCCTTCACACCCAGAAATCACATCTCACAGAAACGTGAGGAGGTGTATTAACACTCGTCTGCTTCCTTGTATCATTCCAATCTTTCCTTTCCTCCTCTTTCTATCTTTTTTACTCCATCTCATTCTCTGTCTTCTCCTTCCTTTCTCCCTGTTTTTGTTCTTTCTTCTCCTTCTCGTCCCCGTTCTTCTTGTCTCTTCTTTTCTTCCAGTCTCCTCTTTCTTCTATTTTGCAATCCTCATTCTTTGCTTTTATCTTATTTTTTCTATTTCCCCATTTTTATTATCTTTCCATCACTTTCTTCATCATATTCTCATTCTTTAGTTTTTCTCGCAGTTTCCTCCTTTCTTTTTTCTTCAGCTGTCTTATATTTTCCCTATCCTCTGTCCTTCACTACGATCACTTTTTTATATTTCCATCCTTTGTCTTCTTTTTTCCTTTCTTTTTTGCTTTTTACTTCCTCCATCTTCTTCTGTTTTCTCCTCTCCCCATCTTTTTTATTTTCATCATATCATAAAGTGTGACCTGTGTGTGTGTGTGTGTGTGTGTGCACATGTGTGTGTTCAGTGAAGCTTTATTGACATGTACAGACTGACAAAAGCTTTTAAAGATTATGTGCAGAGTAACAACCTTTTGACCCCAGGGATAAATTGGATTCTTCTCAACTTATGATGAAGGAGAGGAAAGGAGGAGTTGTGAGGACATTTAAAGATGTCTATTTGGTTTTAGATGATTAGTTTTTAGTTGAGATTTTTATGTTTTGGTGAAAGATGAGATCTTCCCATGATATCACGAGAGCGGTTTCGTACACACACACACACACACACACACACACACAGATACATACCACAGCTCCTGAGTTTTATTTCTTTTTTTATTCTTGAAGCAGTGATTTGAGGGCAACATTGCACTGTGAGTGTGTTTATCTGTGTGTTTGAGTTTTATACAATGTGAGTGAGGACATTTTTTAAAAGTGAAGACACTTTGGGCAGTCCTCACAGCTTCAAAGGGCTGTTTGAGGGTTAAAGGATAAGGCCAGTCATTTTCTATATTAACAGTGTTTTCAACACTACACATAAAGAAACTAAAACTGACAGTCAGCAGCCATTTGTTAATTTGCGTCAGGTGGCACCTGGACTTGTTGACAAGCTCTGCCCATATAATTTCAGTGTAGCAAAATACTAATATGATGTGTAAATAGAAATGCCCCTAATGATATGTCATTATCCAGAGAAAGGATCCAGATACAAATTATTTGTTAAAATTGGTTCAAAGATTCAGGAGTTGTAGCTCATGTGTCTCTCTTTTTTGTCTTATGGGGCTTTTAAACAGAATACAACAGCAGCACTGCTGCGCTCTGAAATTCATTATTTTCAATGGTTTGTCACTGTGATGAGCAAAGTGCATGTGCAGAGTAGTGTGCCACTCAGCAAGCTTGCACACACACAGTGCTCAAATTTCAACCTAGTTGAGCTAGGATGTTACCCATGAGGCCAGTAGAAACGAGACATCCAGCCAAAGGCCCTGGGATCAGCACTGGGCTGTGAAGCAAATCCAGTATAGTGGCCAAACCTTGTTACTACAACTCCTACATTCATCATGTGATGCACACTGGTCCATCCATGCAACCATCCATCATCTATACCGCTTATCCTGAAGAGGGTTGGGGGGGGCTGGTACCAATCACAGCTGTCTTTGGGCGGGAGGCGGAGTACATCTCTTGCCAGTCTATTGGAGACACTACACACACTCACTCCTAGGGTCAATTTAGAGTCACCAACCTAAGCTGCATGTCTTTGGACTATGGGAGGAAACTGGAGTACCCAGAGAAAACCCACACAGGCACAGGGAGAGCATACAAAATCCGCACAGAAAGGCCTTGGGTCAGCCAGGGGCTCAAACCCAGAACCTTCTTGCTGTGAGGCGTCACAATGCCACCCTGGCACACTGACCCAAAAACATTTTTCCTCATAGAAACTCATTGGAAAAGGAGTGGCTGCAAAATGATCCCATGCTAAAGCTTGCTTCTTAGCACAGGACGCATATTGTTCCATCTTTGTTGCTGACCGGGAGCTTCCAAGCAAGCAGGAGCGACAGTGATGTAGTCACACTAAAAATTTTAAAAACACTGCCTGAAAACTGCTCTGAAACCAGCAGCTAGCTTAGCACGAGTCAGTTTCTATCTGAAAGCCCCTTTATTTGGGAAATGTGTTCATCACTTGCTCACATTCTGCCTCAAGATGGAGAACTGACCAAATGCTGTATGAGTGTAACGCCACTATAAATCTAGTTATTTCACCCATTATATCAAATTCTGAAAATAACTAAATTCTTATTATTGAAAATATCTATTTGAAATGTGAATCCACCAAAGATGAGTTGTTGGTCTTTAGTAAGAAACACTATTCTGAGCTGTGATGTAACATTAGAGCAGGTGTCCCTCTGAGTTTCAGATGCTGTTGATTGATAATGATACTTTTTCTTCTTGCCTGTGATCTTCTTTACCACTCTTCTTTCTTTTTTTCTTCCTTCTTGTCTCTTCCATATATTTTTGTTCTGTATCTGCTCATCTCATTGGTCATTTGCTCCTTTTGTTTACTTTGCTCCGCTTCCTTTGCTCCCCTCCTGCATCTCTCCTCCACCTCCTTCTCTCGGCCTTGTCCCTGCCTCTCCTCCCTTCCTCCTTCCCTCTCCCCTGAACTCTTAACAGAAGCCACGCCCACTCAGTATAGGCCTGCCCACACTCCTCCTCCTTCTCCTCGTCACCCTGCTTCTGCTCCTTCTGGCATCCCTTTGACTTACTCCTCCTCCTCTGATCCCCCACCAGTGTCCCCCAGCCCAGGCGTTGCCCTCCCTTCTGCCCCTCGCGACCTGGTCCCTGTCCTAGTGTCCAGTCGATTTGTTCGACTCAGCTGGCGCCCCCCAGAGGAGACCGGAGGAGCGGTGCAGACCTATGGCATTTATTACTCCCAAGACGGCGTGGAGAGGTAAGCACTGCTTTTGTTTTTGTTTCTGCTTGGCCTGATATAGTTTCTGAATTCTTCCCAATCTGAGGTTCCAGCGTGTTTATCTTGTCTCAGAAGACACTTTCCTCTTGAGGTGATGTATGCAACCAGTGAGGAGAGGCCACAAATAGAGTTACTGTTGTTTCTAAGGTTTTATAGAAGCCAGAACAGTTGTTCAATAGTTACATAAAAACTATGAAACTGGCTTCAGAAAGTTAGATGAATGCATTATTTATATTTATACCTGAACCCATGTTGTGACCTTTATAACTATATAAGCCAATGTGTTAACTCACAGCATTATGACTGACTTGACCTGCCTGTACCATGTTACCTGCTTTCACATTTTATTTTGTGCACCTATGTGGATTCAGTGTAAATGTGCCAGTATCACCTTGCACCCCACTGTACTCTATTACATGTTTTGTCGGTCAACTTCGGCTGTTCCCGTTAGGCGTCGTCACAGCGAATCGCCACACTGACGATGTTTGAATTTTGGCACGTGTTTTACGCTGGATGCCCTTTCTGATCCCCAACCCTGAATCGAACCCGGGCCACAGCAGTGAGAGCGCTGAATCCTAGCCACTAGTCCATCAGGGACCCACAGTAATCTATTACATGTTAACATCAGGAATTGAATATATTAGTCAACTAAAAAGTACATAAGGATCACAAAAATAATATCTAAAACTATTTGGGAAAATGTATCCAAGGTAAATGTACTCTGTGAAGTGGATATATACAGCAACATACCTAAAAATACACCACATATACGATGTGATTATTAATGTTCAAGAGCCATTTTACTCTGGCATTAAGAAGCTTCATGCTGCTGACTTATACAGGGACAACGGACAGATGCATTAGAGTTGTATACTAACAGTAATACAATGCTTCTTTTCCTTGATCACAGCTCTGCTGCACACAGTCTTTTGGAACATTTAGTAGAAAAAGCACTGCTTTGACATATTGGCAAGTCCCCTGCTGATGTTAAAAGGTAACCTCTGACAGTCGAGGCTGCAGCTGAAGGCTTTCTCATCCAGGCTTTTAAGCTTTGTTACCTTGGGGACAAACAGGCCGGCTGCGCTTTAGGGCTTCTGAACAGAACGCTGGACAAAAGAACCACAGAGGTTTCGTCATGGCACGATACGACAGAGAGATACTGTCAGTCCTAATGACTTACAGGAACAGAGGCATAGGTTCTGTCAGTTCGAATGACTTAGAGTAAAATACAGAGATAGGCTTTGTCGGCATTAATAACTTGCAGAAAATGAGAGTGTAGAGAGAGAGGGAAGTAGGGAGACAGAGAGAAAACAATGAAAGATTACAAAAGTAAAGAAGATGGCAAAGAGGGAGTGCCAGGATGTTATTTTTTGTCAGTTATAATGACTTCCAGAAAATACATTGACAGAAAAAAATAGACCAAGAGAAAGGAAATATATAAGGAAGGAAAGAAGGAAATGCAAAATGAAAAACTGGTTTTTCACTTTCTTTATTTAAACATTTGGACATGTTGTAGTATACCATACAATACAATGTACTGTATTGCTATCTTCTGAAGACAGTGTATTTTCAAATTTAATTACTTTGTATATCAGTGGTACCTATCACAGGCCAAATTGTTTTAATGGAAGTTTAATGCAATTTGAAATTTGGAGTTGAATTAGTTTTTTTTTTGTTTTACATAGAAATAATATCACTGAATCAAACAGAACACATACAAGACTGGCTTTACAAGGTTTATTCAATTGATGAATGACTTTTTTTATTCAACCTGTGCAGTCAATAATACACAATTAAATGTGCCAAAAAATGGGAGAGCATTCATATGGAAGCTCAGTATTCGAGTTAAATGATGTTTACCCATTATTTGGCCCCAAAGAGGGGGGCGTCAGGCCATAAATCTTCAGAGCCCCACAATAAGCAACACCATTTTTCAGACCTAACCTACCCTTAACACAAAGCATCCCTGAACCCTATCTTCAGCCAAGCAAAGAGCAGATATGTGGCTTGACACACAGTACACACAGTATCTGCATTGTATTTGCTCAGGATAAGTAATGGCCAGCCCAACTGGCATGTAATGGTGGTCACCTCTGAGAGCTGGGTCCGCTCAGTTGTCCAACCATTGACACTGTTCTTCCAAGACTGTCTAACAGAAGAAGACTATTAACAATTCCAAGTGAGTCTGTAGCTGTATTATCACCAACACCAATACAAGTTCTGTGTAGGTGTAGGAGTGAAGCCAAGTCTACAGGGTCATCAGGTGGGCACCCTCACACTAACTGGTGTTTCACTGAGTTGGGTCCACAACACCAAGAAGGTTCAATAGTGTGAATATTTGAACATTTCAAATAGCTTACCAGATAACTAGCCAGACTTCTGCTTCCTTTTATCAGAAAACCACACTGTCCTCTTATGTTAGTTTACTTCAGCTTAACATCCATAATCCTCACATGTGTTGCCATTTATAAATCACTTATCTATTTTTTATTGCATCCACACACTTTTCTGCTCCAGAACCTTGCTGTGCTATCAGCTAGATTTCTAATTACCTATCTTAGGCTTCGACAGCTGACTTGGCCACAAATCTCCTACAACCAACCTCCATGGGGTGGACTTTAACTTTCCAGCCACACTCCTTTAGCTCCATGGCTAATTCTGTGTATTTCAATTTCTTCCTCTCATAAGATGTATCTACAGCACCCTCCCACGGAACTGTAAGCTCGACAAAATGCACAGGCCGCTGTGCTTCTGACCACAGCACAGGGCCTGGACCAAGGTTAGCGCTGACTATTTCATCAGGAACTATGAGATGATTCCCTAAATCTACTATCATTTGCCAAGCTCCCCCTGCCTTTAGCTAGCCTGCATCCTGCCTATTCAAAATTACTTGCTTTTTGCCTTTTTCACCTTCATAAAAAAATAAAATCCCTTTTTGTTTCTTATTCTCTTCTATTGAGTTTTCCTATAAACCAAATGTATACAATTACACCAAGCAGTGCCACTCATGGCAGCAGCTACAGGGCAGTGTACACCAACAACAATAGCAGATGAAGTTATTGTTCAGCAGTTGATGCTCTTTGATAAAATTCAAATAAGAAAACATTCTTAGAAATATACTCTGTCAGTCCACTCAGATGCACAGCTGCATACAGAACCTACAGGAAGTTATTTTTAACCTTTTACACGATAAAGTGTCACAGCTGTTGGTTAACCACATCCTCTGTCTTTGTGGATTTTAGGAGTGTAGACCAGCTGCATACAGAACCTACAGGAAGTTGTTTTTAACCTTTTACACGATAAAGTGCCACAGCTGTTGGTTAACCACGTCCTCTGTCTTTGTGGATTTTACCACCATAGTTTACCACCATTACTTTGATGCTGAAGAAAACTTGATGAATATAAGGCAAAATTTGATGTTATAAGGAGCATCCAACATGTGAGAATAATTTAGTTAAATTGGCAAACTATTCAAGGAATTTTACAAATCAAAAAAATTAATTCATTGTTCATGGATTATTTTGTGCTAATGCCATGATCAGCTGCACTCTTGAAGATGTTGATGTTGATGCTGATGTTGATATGGTATTACAAGTGAGAATAGGGTATAACAGAAAGACAGAGACAGAGGGCAGAGAAGGTTACACAAACACAAAAAGCCGTGAGAAGTCTTTGCTATCCTACTTCCAAACTGAGAAGAAATTACATGAAGGACCAGAAAGATGAGAAGCAATGAGTGAAAATTGAAGCAGTGAGAGAAGTGTTTCTCTCTGTGGGTTATTTGTTTTAGAGAAGGCTGAAGGACCTCAGAATATGGCCTTTGAAGGGCAAATAGAGTTCCCACTGTGTGACAGAAACAGACCCGCTCGTTGACTCCACATCCAGCACAGCATCTCTGTATTTTACTCAGCAACTCAGAGGAAAATATGAATTCATAAACCCTGAGAACTCCACTTACCTTTTGTATTTTCTTTAATCTTTATGTCTCACTGCTGCTACGGCAGATATTGGTTGATTTGCTGCTCAGTATGTCTGTCCAACACTTTGGTCAAAAGACCTGGACATGTAGCAGCCAGACTGGTGTGAAATATACTGTGGACATCTGTGGTCTGCAGAAACTATTTGAGAAAATCATCCTAAAAATTCATTACATTTTTAGACTAAACCAAATAGTGACCAAGACATCTATTAATTTGTACTTTCAATTGCAGTAAATAACTCAAAGTTGGCTGAAGCTCAAACCTTTACGAAGTCATCAGTGGGATTTGTGCATGCATTAAGTGGTTTTTCACTTGAAACCCTATAAAAACAGACTTAGTTACAAAGCAAAAGTTAAGGGGTTTACAGTACCTTCATATTGCTTTTCTCCATTTCCTGATGCACGGCTTGTTTATGATTGTAGTAGGTAAATGTAGTAGTGTCTGAAGTTGAAGCACAAACTCCCGAGGACAGGAGGACACAGACAGACTGATGTGTCTGCTAATAGAGCTACTGTATCTTGGTCAGATAATGAATACTCACATCTCTGAAAATGTCAGAACCAGTTTCTAAATTGGCATCACTTGGATAGACTGACCACATATTCTCAATCTAAGTGGTTACTTCCTTCCTAAACAAACATCGAAACTCAATAAAGTGGCATAATACCAGTCCTTGAAACCTCTGCCATCACCATCTAGTATCAAGATTATCCTGACTGGCTTTCACCTGGCTGTCGCTGCATGGAGTAGATCTTTCCCCAGCTCAGGGGTGTCACCCCATTGTGCTCCATCAGGCCCTGTCTCACACAGCAGGATGTACTGATTGACAGCACTTGGTTTCCATTGACTGTCAATGGGCAGCTGTCACTAACCCAGGGTTTTGTCTCCATATGTGCTTGGCAGTACAGTCGTGCACTTTGGCCACAAGGGGGCTCACATACAGTCAGGAGCCTTTCCAGCACAAACAATCATGAAGAATCCTTTAAAAAGTTCCTGTAGCCAAATTATGACACGGATCAGCATCAAAATGTAATCAACTGTCCTGTGCCCCCTACCTTACTTCTTCAAAAAAAATCTTCAAAATCCATTCATTACTTCAAGTTATGCTGTTGAAACCAACAAACACCGGCAAAACATTATCACTGCCCTTGGTGGAGGTAATAAAAAAAATAATTCATTCAATATAATCATGTTCAAAGGGTTGTGGCATGAATTAATAGCGTTTTAAACCATGACAATTTCCACTACAAATGACATTTTGTCAGACCTGTAACTTTTATAAAGTAAAAGCCATTTTGTTGTTGCACTATAATTGAAAAATTAAGGTAATTTTAAAACACCAATTTGGAGATGTTCTAATGGTTTTGGTTAATTTTAAGGGGTTTTTACCTTTAATCTGTACAAAAACAAACTAATTAAGAAAAATGTGTTCCTATTTAACAGTCTGTTATGATTCTGGCAGGTTTGAACTTTGCCCCGACTCGCATGTCAACATCACATTGACTACTGAATAGCTAACTTCAGCCTGCCCAGTGTTTGTTGTGTCTTGTTGTTTTTTTTTCTCTCCCCTCTATCCACTCACGCCCACTGTTTGAGGCAGAAGGCCGCCCACCAAGAGCCGAGGTCTGTCTGGGGTTTCTTCTGTTAAAGGGAGTTTTTCCTCCCCACTGTTGCCAAGTGTTTGCTCAAGGGGGATTTGTTGGGTTTTTCCTATATAATAATAATAATAGTAAGGTCTACTTTACTTTGTAAGATGTCCTGAGATTACTTTTGTTGTGATTTAGCGCTATACAAATAAAACTGAATTGAACTGAATTGAATAAAAGTACAAGTTTGGAGTTGCTGGATGATATATTTTTTTCTCTTCTGATGAAGCTAGGCTGGTAGTTCTCTCCTGTTTCTTGGTCCTTGTGCTAAGCTAGGCTGAATACATCCGGACCTGTGTCAGTACTGGATGATGAAACTCCACCTGAGGTTCTGAAAATATTTCCTGGCAAACAATAGCCAGGCATAGAGATTGTCTGCAGCTTCTTGAAGTCTTTTTTATCATAGTCATGTTGTCATGTTCAGTACCATCCTCCCTGCACAGAGACCAAAACCTTTGCTTGCTGATTGTATGTGGAAACACTCAGATAAACATTCTGGATGGATGAGTAAACTGCAATTCTTCAATTAGTCATATCAAAAGACTTGTCCCTTGTAAAAAAAAAAAAAAAAAAGTTGCTGCTGTTGTTCATGCTGTGGAGTTGTTTCCATTATACCTGCCAGGAGCACTATTCCAGCGGGTACAGGGACAAACCCATTGTATGGGTCATTTAGGCTGGAGGACTTGTTGTACAGCAGGTACCTGTATCACCCCCTAAACCCACCATTTTCACATTGATTGAGCAGTAACTGATTTTTCCTCTTTGTTTACTGCTCATTTTAAAAGTAGTCTTTCACTCCCTAGTAGCATTTATTTATGTAGTGCAAACATCATTTTTCTACACTTTTTTAAATTATTTTTACAGTTTTCATCCTCCCCTCTGTCTATATTAAGGCTCATTTATCTTTTGTTGTTTGTGTGTGCATGTGTATTTGTTTCTCACTGGATAAATTCAAAAGCAGTGACTGCACTGAAAATCAATGTGAGAAAGATTCTTCATTGCAGGCAATTTTTAAATCAGTTTTCATCAAAATGGAGCAAAATAAAGTTTTCTTTAAAAAAAATTTTTTCAAAATGCCTTCAAATGACAATCATTCAAAAAAAATGTTTTCACTGTCAGCTTCTGAGAGGTGAACTGAGGATGCTGCAGTGGAAACATGCTATAGCACTGCAGCTGTCTCTTCAGTTATTTGGGAGTTAGTTGAGAATAGCAAGGCTGCAGAGGTGCTGTAATCTGAGGATTAGCTGTAGTCACTGAGGGATTATACAGATTACAAATGATTACAACTCTGATGATCTGCACTGTTACAAACTGGATTCTATTTTAAATGCAGTGATTAAAGTATCACCTCCATGTTTAAAAAGTGTGGCTTGGTTTTATAATAAGTTAAATTAACAGAAAAATGTTCTGTAACTGTGCCCTGATGAAATTTTTATTCAATTAAATGAGCTCAAGCAAATTAAATAAATACCAGTGAATAAAAATCATAATAATAATATTATTCTTTTGTTTGCTACATTTGTGTGTAATTTTAAATTTTAATTAAACATTTGAAAGTTAGGTTTAACATGTACAGTACGTATATCTGTACTAATACAAAAAACATTTAGAGCAAAAATTGTTAAGTATAATACATTTTGTTTTCCTATTTCAGGGAGCGGTCAGTGAACGTGTCAGAGCCCGAGTCTTTGGAGCTGACAGTCTCCAACCTGAAACCGGAGGAGAGGTACAGCTTCAGAGTCGTCGCTTACAATGACGTGGGACCAGGAGAGAGCTCCACTTCCCTGAGGATCACCACCAAACCTGACCGTATGACACAAGCACACACACAGTTCCCTGCAGTTATTATACTAAAGACATGGAGAGACACTCAGGCTAGACACAGACATTAAGAAACAAGCTATAGCCTAGCAACATTATGGCTGCAAAAAGGAGCACCACACTGGTTTTACACCGAAAGTTCAATTTACACATCACAGGGAGTAGAGATGAGCTTGTGAAAAATATTAAGTTTCTAAGTGTGAAAAAATAATCCTGATCATTTCATCTTGTAGGATCCATGCCTTCTAGGGACTTTTTTCACATTAGAGGCTCAAAAACAGGATATCTTGGTCGTTGCTGTTTCAGTGTTAACCGGTTTTATGTTTTTTTGTGAGTACCTGAACGTGATGGGAATCCAGCACTAAATCACTAGAGTAACATGGCAGGTTCACACTGTTCACGCTGCAGGGATGCACTTCACTGGACTCTACTGGAGATATAAGAATTTTGGGAACTAAAATCAGGCTGTTCATTTTAGTAATGTTGGTAGATGTAGCAGGAGTAATAGTAACTATATTTGTAAGTGTATATGTGTGTGAGTAGTGTGTTTTCTCTGTCTCTACAGTGCAGGTTCCCAACAGGGTGGAGTCCGTCCGAGCTGAGGCTTTGTCTCCCACCTCTGTCCAGGTGAGCTGGGAGGCTCCCAGCCAACCAAACGGCCCCATCCTGGGCTATAGACTGCTGTGGACTGAGAGCCCTTCTGGCAAGGAGCAGGTCAGCACCATCTGAGATGTAGCACTACTCAGAGCATGAGTTGTTATGAGGAGGTTATTTAAATGTAACAAATAATTATCTTGGATTTCGGAGGTGTAATCAGTCTGTGTGTCTGTGTTCAGAATGTAGAGGTGAACGGACTGAACTACAAGATGGAGGGACTCAATAAGTTCACAGAGTACACAGTCCAGGTGTTAGCAATCAATCGCTATGGACCGAGTGCTGCGTCAGAGGCTGTTGGCGTCAGTACCCAATCAGACAGTGAGTTGTACCTCTACATCTTTGGCTTGGTTTGACTAGCTGCTGCCTGTAAATGTCTGAAATTTCAGCACAGAACTTCTAGTTTCAATTCAGTGCAGCTGTTCAGCTTGCCCCCAGGTCCTCCTAACAGGTTAATCTGACCACAGTGTAATTACTTGAGCAATTTCAGGTTTTTTTTTAACAGTTCTCTTTACTTTCTGCTTGTCCTACCAGATCACAATGACCTTTTCTCTGTTACTGATGGCCCCTTGCTTTCCACTCCACAATAATGAAGTAAATATTTTGTTTGAGCAATACTGAGGTTCTCAGTTCAATATGCCATTACTATTACTATTTAATGTTTTTGAACTTTTTAAAATAAAAAAAATTAGACTAGTAGGGTTGTGGTTATAATGCTACTTTAACTTCCTGACACTTTTTTGCAGTCTTACTTTTATAATAGAAATACTGGTGAAGTATAGATTATTATACACAGTTTATTTTAACCATCCAGTATATGAGCATTTTTCTTCCAACCATCATGTCATGTCAGGGTTACTTTAGATCATATAGCTACACCACAGGATATGACATACTGGAGCTGAGGTTCAAATGTCAAAGAAAAGGTCAATGCAGTCAGCGATCATTATTCTGACAGACTATTTCTACACCAGATATCCACAAAAACAGAAAGTTAAAGACAATAACAGTTTACAAAAAACACACATCTTCCCAAACACCAAGGGCATGATGTCAGTCCTGCTTACATTACACTGAGAGCAATGGTAGCTCTCTCCTGAAAATCCTTGTTTGTTTAAATGAGAACATCCTCACTGAATATAATCCATGTTTATACAAACTGAGTTCCACTAAAGATATAATTGTTTAAAATATTGCATGTAATTACGCAAAATATTTTAATAAAATCAATACAAAACTCTATAAATCAAAAGCAACTAAAAAAAGAACCAAATCAAAAGCTGTTGATATTTCAAAATGTATGGGATTTGGAAGAGGACCTGAGAGTGTTTTTGATGTTGGCAGCCTGACTGGTTTGAACTGGTCCCAGTTTGAAGCTTTGCAGTCATTCAGCTGTGACCAGAGAGCTGCTGGACCAGGTGTTGCCTATTACCTCATACTGTGTGTATGTGTGTGTGTGTGTGTGACAGGGAGAGCGAGAGGCCATTAGTTTGGTTGAACGAGAAGGAAATATCGAAATAAGAGCTGGGCAACAGCAACACACACTTTAGCCCATTTTCAGTAATACACACTCTCACAGACATGAACTCTCATAAGGCTCTCCCTCGCTCTCTTGCTGTCAATAGTTTCATTAATGGACTTGGGAGTCTTTAATTAAGCCAGGTGATGGGGAGTCATTTTAACTTCTCTGGCACAGTAATCGAGTCCACACACATGCACACACACACAAAGAGGTAGCTTATGTATTTCAGTTTGCTGTATAGTGGGGGGCTCAACATAGTGAGAAACAGAAAAACAGTAATGTGGAAATGCATTAATGATTAAAAAAAAAAAATCTAGAGAACAAAACATGAGCAGAATCCAGTGTACATGTTGGAAATTATATACTAATTAATACACAGTAGTCAACAAAGCAGCTAAATGTTTGAGAGTACTAATTGATAATAGAAAGAATATGTGATATAACTGTAAACAAAGAAAAATGGAGAAAGGTGTTCTTCTAAAAGATGAACGAGCAGAGCATGCACTAGTTTGAAAGATAGACACATAATCCAAAACATACCACTTACAGGCCCAAAATCATGTTTGAACTTTTCTTTAAGGGTAACGTCACTTTTATTTAGGGCTACGTATCAAATTTCGATACTTTTGTGGCACCGACTGGATTGCTTAGATCTTGTGAAGTGTTCTGTCATATCGCATCAGTGTCAGTGAGCCAATAAGCATGCAACATGCTTGTGGCAACATGCAATAGCATGCTTATTACAGCGGCCAGAGATGGGGCTCTTGTCAAGTGTGTGTTGTTGAATGGCTTGACTACAGTGTTGTGTTGCATAGAAAGTATAACCGCTTACAAATATACAAACCTGACCAGGCAGTCACCACCCTTAAAGCACTTGTAAAATCTTGTTTTAATGCATTTGAGGTGTCTTCTTCTCCCTATTCTGGTGTACCAAGCAACGGTTTGTTCAGTACTGCCACTGGGTTCTCAGTGTCACTGGCCCATTTGATTCCTCCCAAACCATTTATTGATATTATGTTAACATACAACTTCAAGTTGTGGTAAATAGGTTTATTTTTTATGTTATAAAGCTGCTTGGAGTAGAAAAATGCTAAGGTGCTGAATCATAAAACTAGAGTCGAAATACATTGAGGTAAATGGGATATAATTTTTTTATGTTAGGAAATGTCTTTGAGCATGTATAAATGCCGAGAAGCTGAAAAAAAAACATTAAAGATTTGTAATCTAATTGTAATGTAATTTTCTTTTTGTTACAATGGATTTTATAAAATTGGTATAGAAAAAAGTATCATTCAAGAACCAGTATCGAAGTCAAGGTATCGGTACCTGTTCCTGTTTGAACAATAAGCAGCCCTACTTGTATTTATGTGCATTTTCAACAATAGCATATATAACCTGGCTGGAAAGGTTGGAAATTTATAGAATCGTACAATTGAAGTGGAAAGTCGGTGTAAGAGTAAAAGAATTATTAAAAGAAAAAGGGACGAAGTGCAACTGAAAAACACTTACAACAGTAAATCCACCGCACTTATGAGATGAAAACATCAGATCTGTGTGGAAGAATAAGGAGTCTATATGCTGCTCTTACAATGAAGTCATCTTATTGTGCATTCTTTTATTAGTACATGAATGGAGAGTTAGCACCGTCAACTGTTTAACTTACATAAAAATAGTGGATTCACTTCGTTTGAAAACTTTTTTGGATATGTGGTTAAAAGCTGTGCTAAATTTGTTTAGAAACCTGCACTATATTTACATCAATAACATTTCTTTTCTGAATAGAACATCAGCTCCTACTTCAACATGCAGGTGCTGACTTGTAACCAGATGGGAATAGTGCTGCTAATAAACTTCCACACATAAACAGTGAGAGAGAATGGAAGCATCTGTCCAGCTGTAACCAAGCCATAAAAATGACCTGAAACATGCAAACATTCACATGCACAGATGCAGAGTAGCTGCATTGTGAATCTCCCAGCTGCATCTCAATGATAACAATGACTTGTGGCTAATTGAATCCACAATAAAACTCACACACACACAAACACGCACACACACACAATGAGCAGCTGAATCAATAGATACGCTGCTGACAGTTAATCAGGCATCTGCTTGGACAGACGCAGTGTTCATTCAGACTGAAACACTTTGATTCTCAATTTGAACATCACAGTCTGAGTTTCTCATCTGCTGCTTCTTCTTCTTCTTCTCCTTCAGCTGGCTTTTCACTATCATTCTATCCATCCCCTTCCTCCTGTTGTTTGTCTTTTTCTTCACCATAGCCCTGTTTTTGTTTTTATTTTTCATGTTCTGTGCTGTTATTATTTATGCATGATTGATCTGTTTTATGCTTTTTGCTTGTGTCCTTTTGTGTTCTTTGCTTTCACTCCCTGCATCTTCCATCTTCTTTATTTACTTTTTTATCTTTGTTTTTCTTTGTCTTGCACTGTATGTAGTTTTTCATTTTATTCTTTTTCTTTGCTGTGTTTTTTTAAACTGGGTTTTCTGCTCCATCTTTGTTTTCTTTTTCTTTCTTCTCTCCATCATCTTCTCCTTTGTCTTAGTTTTTTCTTGCTGAGGTGCTCATGAAGAGTCATAATGTTTGTGCAGTACACATATACAGGCATTTTAGCAAACATTGTTTAATTCTAGGTGAAGTAAAGACCCAGGAGTGTTGTACACCTTAAGACTTGTTTGCAGGAAGAATGAGACACAATGACATCTGACACACTTAATCGCTTGGTGTTCTCAGTCCCTAAATGTCTTTTAAGTGTTGTGAAAAGGCATGGCAACATCACACCATGGTAAATGCTTTACTATCCCAACTTTTTCACTCATCATCATAAGACAGGGACAGAGAGACATGTTTTGACTGTGGGTGACAGCAGTGGGTACCGTGCATCATCTCTTCACTACTTGAGAGGACACTCAAAGGGGAAATTAAAGGTCCCTTTGTGGTACAAGTCAATTTCAGCCTCAATCCCAGTGTGGGACCATATGCCGCCCACTCCTTCAGTGAAAGAACCCCCAGTGAGATCTTCAAGTGCCTTCTTTAGAAGGAGGAGATTGTTCCTCCTCTGCTTCATGTGCTATGTGTGGCAGGCCATCACCAGGCTCAGGCTGTCCTGCTGCATGTGTGGGAATGGCCGGTGCTGCTCCTTTCCTTTCTGTTTCACTGGGGTTCTGTCAAAGGCAGCAGTGGTAGAAAAAACTTCCTAAATGTCTCATCTTGTTTCTTTTCACAAAAGCTACAGAGCAACACAGGCAAGCTCTGCACACAATCACACTCACTCTCTCATACACACAACTTTAAGTTACCTGAACAAATTACACACACACACACACACACACACACTTCACTGGTTCCGTTGAACTCTGGTGAAAAAAATGCTGCTACATGCCTAACGTGGCCAAGCAGGTGGCTGGAGCGGCTTACCTTGCAACCTGCTTGTGGTGCAGGGTTTAAGTTCATGTGTGGGGACAGTCCAGCTTCTCGTTCTGAGCTTTGTCTGTAATGACAGCGATGCCATTAATATACAACACCTCAGCTATGTTGACTCCAGTGTGTGACGTGAAAAGGACAAAACTTCATTTCCCATTTGCTGGTCCTGACATGAGCTGTTACAGTATAGTTTTGAGGAGCTCATGAAATCCACCCATCCTTGGCTGTTCAGATGGACTGCTTCTTTGAAGCTGGTACAGAGCTGTGCGACTAAAGCATGGCTGTGATGGAATGGTAGGCTATATTTGGCTTTATGTGTGTTTACTAATGTTCAAAATCCATCTGTTACCGACCACA